GTGAGACCCTGTCTTTTCTATATAGGGTGCCGGTGAAGTTCCTAACCCTTGCTCAAATATGCCAACCATCAAGTGTATCACCTTGTGCACATGTGTGTTAGCATATTTTCATAAACATTTTCAAGGGTGTTAGCATTCCACTAGATCCTAAATGCATATGCAATGAGTTAGAGCATCTAGTGGCACTTTGATAACCATATTTCAATACGAGTTTCACCCCCCTTAATGTACGGCTATCGATCCTAAATGTGATCACACTCTCTAAGTGTCTCGATCACTAAAACAAAAATGGCTCCTACCACTTATACCTTTGCCTTGAGCCTTTTGTTTTTCTCTTTCTTCTTCTCAAGTCCAAGCACTTGATCATCACCATAGTATCACCATCATCATGTCATGATCTTCATTTGCTTCACCACTTGAAATGTGCTACCTATCTTACGATCACTTTGATAAACTGGGTTAGCACTTAGTGTTTTATCAATTTACCAAAACCAAACTAGAAATTTCAACAGCCATGTATCCTTTTTTCTGGTTATCAGCTGTCCACATATCAGTTGTAATAGCAACATGACAAGTCATCTTCTGAAGGAATATCTTAACTTTCCTTTTCTCCATGTCATAGAAACTCAAGATTCCCTTTCTAGCGGTGTTTCTAGTACCTATCTTGAACAAGGGTTGCAATGCACTAACAAATTTGTGAAATCCATGATGGTCCATAATGGATAGAGGGTACTCATGCAATACAATCATAGAGTAAAGTGCTTTCCTAGCTACCTCTTGATCAAAAACATAATTTTCTACAGCCATTGCCCCCTTCTCAGTGGCTGCAAACCTCAAGTTTGTTTGCACTTTATCACCTAGCTTTTTTCTATAGATACAAATTTTCACATGAGTACGTAGATGGTTCGTACCATTCCTTGTTGCTGAAAGTTTCTTGCCGCAATGCTTACATTTAGCTTTCCACACACCGTCATCATCACAAACTCTTATAAAATATGCCCAGACTGTAGAAGTAAGCTTCCTCTGTGAGCCTTGTGACTGAGTTACACCACCACCAGCCCCATCTTCCTTAGGTTCATCATCAACATAGATCACTTTAGAGTCAGCTGCAATAACAGGGATAGGTCCAGAAGGCCCAGAACTACTTCCAGGTTGCGTGCTACTTCCAGGGATGTCCATCACAAATACTCATAACTACATGAACATGAAAAAATCTCAGAACTGAACTAATCTACAGAACTAGCTACTGACCATACAAACATAAACTAATACATGGAACATAAGTGCAAATCAGTAGTAGGGACGAAGGGGATTGGAGAAAAATCAATACCTAGAGGGGATCCGGCTAGACACGGTGAGGTCCTGTGCTCCGACGAGTCAGATGCAGGGCGCCGGACTACCGGTGGCCGGGGCTCGTCTATGGGTTGGCTCTGGCCGCTGGCGGACAGGATCTGGGGTGTGGTGGCGCAGTGGCGCTGGCGGCCTGGCGCTTGGTCGTCTGGGCTGTGGGTTGTGACGGTTGGGGTGGGGAGGTGGAGGGGATAGAATAGAAATGCTAAACATGAACCCTAGAGTTTGCTTTCTTATATACTATTGGCACAGGGGACCCACATGTCAGGGCTCTAGAGCGAGTTCGCGGGTCTAGCGGGCACGGGTACAAGTTTTTTTTTTGTACCCGCCAGACTTTACCCATTGGGTTCAATTACATGCCCTCGTCCATGCCTGTGGGCACAACTCCAAACCCGTACCCTCGCCTTAGCGGGTTTATTCCTGCGGGCACGCGGGTAATCTGTGCTCATTGCCATCTTTACTCCGAGGTCAATGAGCCAAGATAGAGTGCCTGTCCAGGCTCTTTCCAACCATGATGAGAGTATGCACTTTTGTTGTGTTTGGTTATCTTTGTTGTTGGTCCAGTACGAGACAAGGTTGTGTTTGGTTGCATGCATATATCAAACTTTTGGGTGTCTGACACATGGGCCCCTGCACCATGTGTGAAGCCGTCCTGGTTCGTGAGGAAAGTGAAAATCGAGAAGACGGAGGCTTCGCGATGGAGGAGGACAGAGGTATGAGACGAAGTAAGCAAGACGTACGAGGAGGCGAACCAAACACGGCCGCAGTGCACCGAGTGGTGCCAGATGGACCTTTGGATGGCTTGAGCAGGGCAACCAATCACGCCCATAAAGGTGAGTTTGGCAGCGCTCCTCCGCTCTTGCTCCGCGCGCGAAGCCGGAGCCCTCCGACAGAGCCAGATTTTGGCGCTCTGACTCCGCGCGCCAAAACGCTCCGCACATCTAGGTGAAGAAGCGCTCCTCCATGCATCCTCGTTTGGTGGGACTCCACCCACTTTGGTGCTAGAGCCGATGCGGGAGCCGCACTAAAACTTTTATCTAAAATATAAGGAATCGAGAGTTCGAATAAATTTGTACCAAAATATAAGGTATTCTAGGTGAGCAATCCCGAGAAGGTAATATCCACATGTATACCTATCATTAATATCTACCACCAACCCAAATATGGTAATTAGAAAGGGTTACATGCGTCATTTGTTTTACCACATAATATGACTTAAAATTACTTGGATACCTTATATTTCAGGACGAGGGAGTAGAAGATAACTATTGTATAATTTAGCTCTTACATCTTAATTTATAACTAATTACTTGGCTTTATTATTAATCTTGCTCTACATCTTTATTATTAATCATTTATCTGTATCCACGTTGTTTTGGTTGGATATGGTTGTGTTTGGTTGCCTGACGAGGACTTGCATCATATATCCTATATGAGTGGATGCAGGCTTGGTGGAACCGTATTTTAGAAAAGAAGGTGTTTGGTGAGGTTGCATGAGCGGATGCAGGATAACTGAGATGCTGTTTGGTTGCTTGCATGAGCGGATACAACTTGGCTAACATGTGAGGCTGACGTGTGGGCCCATCCCCTGTAACCTGCATCCACCAGGCAAGGCTACAGAGTGAAGCTCATTTTGGCGATCTTCACCGGGCCAGGATGAGACCGAGTGGAGACAAGCTGGAACAGTAACCAAACGACCTTATATTTGTGCGTATACGGGTGAGCGGAGCCATGATAGGGTAGAAACGGGCAACCAAACACACACTAAATGGTTAGGGTTAGGAGAAAAGACCCTATCATCTACCTATCCAGCTGTTTTTAGTCATGCCCGAGATGCAGATATATCTCTGTCAGGTCTGTCATGCGGTGTGGCCTCGAAGCACATTGCATTCCCGTCTATCCAGAGTAGCCAGCGCTGAGCTTGCTGCAGGTGCAATGGAACTTTACGATCTACAGCCGAATGCAGCACGTGACCAAAGATTTTGCTGCTTTGAAGATGAATCTCTCAAAATCCTAGCGGAGCATGTTTACTGAACCTCAGTCCGCACGAGAGAGGGATCGGACTTGCATACTTTTGTTTGGCGCAGCTATGGGTCAAGTTCTTCGGATGGCTCCTAATTCAAAACCGCATCCAATGCAAGGCAAGTCTTATGCGAAAGTCCATTGTTGACGACGCCGACGCCGACCACATTATCTTGAATATCTTCCAATGTCTGGTTGCCAGGAAATTCTTCTGGAAGCATGTGTGCGGCGATGGAACCCAAATTGCCTCAGTCAGAGAGCTTCAGTCGTCTTCGCTTCCTCCACACATCCCTGCAAATACAGCCCCGAACTTTCTCCTCGCTGGAACTCTTCTTTTTTTTTTTGAAACTTCAGCTCTCAGGCCTTTAATTAAAAGCAGGCTCCGCAAGATCGCGTGCCACCAAGTTTTGTACAAAGATAGGGACCGGGTATTCCCATACCTCCGACATCCCCACACCTCAACTCATGCCTAAAGCGGCTATCTCGTGCGCAGACGAGTTACAAAGACGAGGAACATATAAACATTCAAAATGCAAGAAAAACTCTCTAATCACCTACGGATATCCTGGAAGATGACACCTGCTGGCGCCTGGTCCATTTCATCTGAGAGCACAGCTTTCTGGAGAAGAAGGGAATCAGTCTCCAATTGTATCTTTGAAATACCAATTGAGACTGCCGCATCGATGGCTGTCCAACAGGATGTGGTTTCGGCCATGAGAGCGTTAGAAATGTCTGCAACCTTGTCCGCACCTGCCAGGACCGCTGGAACTCTTGAAACACCGCAACGATGTTGTGTTCTGGAAACTGCAACCAAGTCTGCACCGTCTGCCAGGAGCGGCAAAGACGTGACAACTTCATGGGCCTGCAGGCTTCCCCATAACTCACGTTATGTAACCAAGGAGCGGTGTATTCTGTTTAGGTGTTGTTTGGACGTCGTCAGATTCACCTCAATCCATATTTGTAGGGATGGAGCGGAAAGATGACTATGATTGCTATGATTGTTTGTTATAGCAACTCTATCCAGTCCACCATCTACTCCGATTTGCTTGATTATTTGTTCAAAAAGATTTTTGAAAGCAAGATATAAACACAGACAAAATGATATATCCATTCACAGTAGTTAAACCATCTAAAAATCAAGATATGGAATAAATGATATATTGTACAATTAGAATAATGTCTCCTTGCTGTAAGACTCTGTTCTAGACAAACTCAAAACTTGACCCTACCAAAAAAGGTCTAAATACAAACTTTGTGCAGTACAGAAAAGAAAGAAAAACATCCTTAGGTTACTCTGTTGAACTTTGAAAAGTACACAAAAGAAAGAAGTACAAAAACGAACCAAAACAACCCTGTGAGGAAATTTTACAGGTATACAATATAAACTAATGACTAGCTACTCCTTTCGAAAATTTCCCTGAGGAACAGATACCTAGGTGTCCTTGCGAAGGTTCTGCAGTGTTGTGATTTAGGCCCCAGCACCTGCAGTGTCATATCCATAATAGTAGTTAGCCATAGAGTATGCTTTACTAGTCTAGTGCAGTGTTTTGTGCTCTGCTTAAAGACATTAAATTGCTGCAGTGCCTGCAGAGATTAATGCAATATCAAGAAGACTGAAGACACATACCTTAGTTATGCTTGTCGCTTGTCGGTAACGGTAACAGCTCTTCAGCACCGATTCTAATGTTAGTATTTGATGAGCGCCTCTTTGATTTGCCATCTAGCCTTTCAGCATCAACAATAAATGTTCCACAAACAGGACGATGGTCAGAGAATTGAGATTCCCCCCGGAAGTATGATAACTGTGCGATACCATCTCCATGCCATAGTATTCTATCACACCTGAATATTTGCAACAAACCGGTCATTAACTAGTATTATGTATTTCAAGGAACAGTTGATTGAACAAGTACCCCTGGAAACAGCCTCTTGCAGAAATGCAAGGAAAGGCTGCGTACAAAAGGCCCAAGTGGTCGGACCCTTCCCCGGACCCTGCGCAAGCGGGAACTGCCCCTTTTTTTTTAGTTGATTGAACAAGTACCACATTATACCCATAGTTGGCATGAAAAAGACAGTAGTGACACATGCAGTCAACTGTGTACTCAATTTTGGAAGTGTAATTCATGAATACAGAATATGTGAATCATCTTGATTTTTTTTTATTTACTGCACATGAGAATGATTCCTCTTTTATGTTACCCACACTTACAACTAGCTTACTGTCCAAATCTGATTTAACTCATCTCAAAAGATGGTTCTTGTGGTACAGAAAGGGGAAATGCAAGGTTTTCGGGTTGCAAAGAGGTTTGTGGACTCTAGGATACTTCATAGCCACCAAGAAGTGTTAAAATATGAGATCTGAACTTTCTAAAACTATCTCAAACATTGTACTACATACCAGGCTGGGGTTCTCCTCTTTTTCTTTGATGTGGCAGTCTCTCCAGCATAAGAATCTGAGTTGCAAGAGTACTTGTATGTGGGAGCAAAATATATCTTCTCCTCACTCCACCCCTTGAACACACTTCCAGATGCACGCTGAATATTGAGCTGAGAAAATGAGTAAAATGTCATTGAATTCTAGTATCATTTCACCATAATATAAAATAAAAACTGGACTGGTTTCTTATTCTATAACTAGTCTTCTAGAAAAGAAAAGCTTTATTTTGAGGAGTTCACCTGATCCTTTTCAAAGAGGGCATCCCAGTTATTTTCAGTCAGAAGTTTTTTTGTATCTTCATAGCTCAAGGAAATTCGGTAGTTCAGGTCTCCTAACCATATCACCCGCCTGAAAAAAAATCATGTGAATAAAAAAACAGTAGGCAGTAAGAAAAACTTAAAGCATTTGTGGGATAACTTTCTTACTCATGGTCGAGAATTTTCTCAGGGATTCTTCGCCCAGCTCTTCTGCAAATCCTTCGAAATTGTGTGAGCCTTAGAATCTCTAACACATCTAAATTCCGCCTCAATTCATCGCCTTCCTTCTCACCTGAAGCCAAATGGCTGCAGATGAAACAAAAGCTTGTCTGGTACAGTGTCATGCTTACTGATATACATCCCTGTATCAACAAGAATTGTATCACTTAAGGGATCTGCTTTTCATCACAAAAAAAAACCTTAAGGGATCTGCTACACTCTATAGAAAATGTTTTCAGATAATTTCTTTTTTGCCTGTTACCTTGTTTCCAAGATATCCCATTATTCCGCGACCAACACAGGACGTTCTCAAATGTCCTATATGCTGCACTAGTTCTTTCTTTGCCCAGACTGTGACAAAAATACCAACCATTTGTTTGCAAGATATGAGGTTATACTTTAGCTGGTCCCTGGAGGCAGAAGTAGACGAAGTAACATCATCATCATTAAGGCCAAAAATATCATTCAATTTGTCATCCAATTCATCCTCTTCTGAAGAGTCCATTTCATTGGCATATGCTTGTGGCCGTGGGCATCGAAAGCAAGCATCTTTGTAGGATTTCTTGGCCATTTCCACTGGGCAATTGCAGAATTTGAGCTGTTTTCTCTGAGATGGCATGTAAGATTTCCTGATGGATTTCAAGGATTTTTGGAAGATTATAGAACCACTGGCTGTTCTTGAACGGTTGGAGAACGAACCATCAAGGCCTGGTGTTGACTGGGATGAGGTTGAATCCAGGGAGGGAGATGGTTTGTGCTGAAATATATCAGCATCAGTGTCAACTGGTTGATTTAGTGCACGGTTTATAAGAGCAAGCCATCTTGCAGCTGGTTCGTTATCTTCTATCACAAGGACATTACCAGCATTGAGAGGCACAATTTCCTGAAAACTGTTAAAAGATCAAATAAAATAAGTAATAGGATGGTATCTTCCATTAACTTATGAATACAAAAAAATTCCAATCCTTATTAGGTTTCCTTTGTTTTATATTCTCCAATCTCCATGGTTATGTTTTTTCGAAAATCACTGGCATGATTATGCCAGGCATATATTAAAAGAGGACATATTCTCCATGGGTTTGTAATCGGATTGTTTTCACCTTCTCAATATAGTGACTAGTCCGTAAAAAATGACCTAATTCTCCTTCATGTTCAGAAAAAAACTCAAATCCTTAAAGGGAAATTAAAGCCTCATTTGGAAAGCACAAATAAATACCAGAATGTCAATTGCAGTCAAATAGACCAAGGTAGATAAGAAATCAAGAAAATCTTGACTACACTGAATACTTTTTTTAAAAAAGTTGAACCGGGGTGGGGGGGGGGGGGGGCTGGATTGACTACACTGAATACTAAATGTAAGTACGAAATAAGGAAGAAAACATACAGGGTATTACACATTTTTCTGAGATGATGTTAGCACCACAATTGACAACATTGACATGGATAAGGTTCAGAGTAATGACGAGACTGGTTACCCTAAAACATAAATATCTGAATGGTCATCAGCAGGAAGAAACTCATCCAGTTTCAACTCGGCGGTAGGCGCTTTTCCTCCAACGTTCCATGTGGAGACAAATATCCTAAACAAGGAACTAAAGAATAAGGAGCTGTTCTGTTTTTCATGTATAATTGAACATGCAGCATTAATTCTCTTACCTAACATGTTCATATTTTGTAGCATTTGAAGAGTGACTTAGAAAATGGCTGAGACGTATGCTCCTAACTTCTGCTCTCATTTAGTCCAAAGAAACACACACACACACACACACAAATAAAATCAAATTAAATCTGTAGTTCTGTACTGTCAGTGGAGTTAGCTCATGAGCAAAATTGGCAGATAGAAAATCAACCTGAAAGTTTCCGGAAGGGGGATGAAGATGGTGACTTTGAGTTGCTTGATCCACACTTAGCTACAATATACAAGAGAACAAGGGACAGTTGGTTACTACTATATTATCAGGATAAACTAGCAAAATCGAACCGCATCCAGTTTGTATAAAATGTTGAACTTCTGGAATGAAGATATCAAGTGCAGTACTGTATGAACAAATTTGAATTCAGTTTGATCTCTTCGTTTCATTTCAACATTTGTACAAACAGAATAGTTATCCACAGTTCTGCAAAGTCAACATAGGTTCAATCGACAATATCTGTGTGGTTGCCAACTGACTTCAGCTTCAGCCATTACTCCTTTTGATGGGATGAAATTTGACAATTGGGTACTAAGATATATATTTTCCATTTATTACCGTACTACTCAGCATTGAGTGCTGATACAGTTCTGAAAGAAAGAAGATGAACTAACCTGTGGAGCAGCTTGCACGGTCTGTCCTCTTGGCGACTTGCTTATCCTTTCGAAAGAGGTTTGGCTGACAGCCCTATAGTACAAAGCAGAACACTTTTTAGGCCAACTGTTTCATTTAATTGCAACTATGCAAATGCATTAAGTTTTAATTAGAAAAACAGAGGGAAGAGGAACAATGATAGAAAGTTCAGAAAGATTATGACCATGATATGAACAAAAGTGAAACAATAGGCACACCAATTCATACCAACCTTCATCTTTCCGTCATCTGAAAAAGACATCCCTTTTGAAGGCAGAAGAACGATGGAAGCTTTCCCCCCCAAAATCCAACTCTGAACACATAATTTAATAGAATGAGAACATGCTAATAGATCATCAAGGCTATGACAGCAGCACCAAACAAAAGAAGCATAGAATTGGAATTCTGACAGGAAATATAAAAAAGGGAACAGTTGTACGAAACTTCCACTTTTTTAAGCAAGTACGGAAACTACGCCGGATCCACACCGTTATTTGGAACCAAGTTTCTCCACTGTTCGTTTACATATCACAAAAACGAAAAGAAAAAAAAAACACCGAAAACTTCCCCCAAAATGCAATTTTTTACATGAAAAAACAACCATTTTCCCCCACAAGTTCGTCAACGAAGAATGTCTCCTTCAAAATCCAACCATCCTGGGATTCAGAAGAACTCAGTACACACCATACATAAGGCGCAACAGAAACACCGAGAAACGCAAGAGAAGAACATCGCGAAACTACAGATTTCCAAGTAGCAGAGAAAGCCAGAAACCCACCACCACCACCAAACAGGAGCTCCAGCGCGCAATCCGTGCGCCCGGCAGAACCTCCGAGCTCGGCTTCCCCGGACCGAGACTCTAGAGCCCCGGAATCCTCCTAAAACCCCAGCGGAGGATGAGAATCCACCAACTCCGCAACCATTCCTCCCAAACGCAACCGGAAAGAGCGGCGGCGGAGGAGGAGGAGGGAGAGGGACGCCTCAAACCCGGGAGTGGGTCTGCAGGAAGGCGACGAGGACACGGCCATCCGGGGGCGGCCCGCGTCCCCTCCTCCCTCAAGGATTAAACTACTCGGCCCTCGGCCGGGGGCGACAACTGTACAGCGGGGCGTGGGCCGGCGCGGTTCCACGGCATTTCTTGGTGGGGGGATCCGGCAATTGTTTACGGGCGCGCGCGAGCACGGTTTCCAGTGGGTGGGGGTGGTTGACCCGACCGTGGGGAGGAGAGGGAGAGGAGAGGAGTGGGAGGGGGGAGGGGAGAGCTTGAGCGGCGCACGTGTGGCTCGACGGATTGGGTTTGGCGCGAGGGAGGCGGAGACGGTTGGGTCTGCGGAGGTGAGGTCGCCAGGACGGCGCCATGGGTCAACCCTGCCCTTGCGTGCTTTATACTACCACTGTGGCACTGCTGCTCTGCAAGCCCATGTAGTTTGGGAATAATCTCCACCCTTATCCAAAACAGTTTGGGACTAGTGAGCTCTAGAACATCGAGAGATCACGTTCTGAAGAATATTAGTACGTTGTTAGGTAGAACAGGTAGGGTTAAAAATGACCGTTTTGCCAATGAGTGGGGCATAGAATATACGGCACATGTTTTACAGCTATAGGTTTGAACAAGCGGGGCGAACGTTGACTTTGCCTTTCGACTAATCTTATGTTTTTTTCCGAAGGGAAAACGAGATTATATTAAAACTTTGAACAGTACATTCATAAATTACATATGAAAAATTCTAAAATAAAAAAATACACGATATTCTATCCGGATTCTTTCATCTTCTTTCCTAACAGCATCCCTCGAACACCGAAATCGTGCAGTCCTTATGCCGAATTCAACAACCAATCTCAAAAAATTGAACATGCTGCAAGATCCAACGCTTCGGAACTAGTCCAAAACGCATCTAAATCAAAGAAAGAATATCGGCAGTTGGCATCGTTGGGATCAGCATAGGATGCAGATTCATCACCTTCAAACCTTGATTTTCTCTCCGTGACCAACGACAATGAGATTGATGACCCGAAGTAGCTGTCTTCGTTGGGTTGCCCAGAAGCATCCCTCCTCTTATAGATAATGGCCACAACTTGGCCACCGGTCGATGAAATCAACGCCTGCAACGGTGATCTCGTCGTGTCAATAATTGAAGTCATCGCAGGAATCACGATCCCGACCGAAAATCATCTGATTTCGCTCAAGAGTGCCACATCTAGACTCTAGAGTCATTTGATGAACTAAACAATGATCTTTTATGTATTATCTTCATTTTGCTATTGTAGATGCTAGTCATGATATTTAATACATGCGTGTGACGCGGGATTGGACGATTGTTAGATGAAATGAAAATTTTGCGTCTCAATGCTAGTGTTGAATAATTTCTAGGTGGAAAGGGTATACACCTAGTTTTATTTAAATGAAACTCCTTATCACTCATCGATCATAACTCTAATGTCATATAATCAAACTTACTTATGTAACTCCCCATTTAACGAAAATAAAACCTTTCATTGAAATTGACCTTAAAGAAATGTACCTCATATATATACAACAGTGACGTATGTGAGGACATATGACCTTAAAGAAGAATTTTCAGCAACAAAGTGTGCATGTCTCCACACAGAGCCACCCACTGAAAGTGGTTGTTACTGGAATGGTTATTACTCAAGTTCTTTTTAAGAGGAAACAAAAAGAAGATAGAAGAAAAGAAAACGCCTCCCCTACTCGATGATGATTAAATTGAATGCGCAGGATATGGTGTTGTAGCGCATTTAGGTCGTAGTGCAGATCTGTGTGTGAAGCGCAATGGTCCAAACGCAAGCCGCGAAAGATATGATTCGGGTATGACGCTTAGCTATCTATGAGGGTCGGAGCTAGCTGAAAGGATGCCATCATTAGAGGCGGACCACCATCGGCCGATTAGTGGGGGGCCATCATGCATTGCATGATGCCCATTAAAAAACGGTGGTGACAGTGAGTCCGATCTTCCACGGGAAGCGATCGTCCACCAATCACCATACAAGTCTACAAAATTACAGGCAAAAAAAACTCCTTGTTGTTTCATGGGGAAAGCCATTTTGGAAGCTCGTACATAATTTCTGCCGGATTGAGAGGGAGGGAGAATGACCTCTTGGAAGCTTACTGCATGATTGATGTTAAAGTTGTAGCTCTATATATTTTACATCAACCGATGCGTCTTTCTCACCTTATATACAGCTTGTTCGGTTGGCTGGTTCGTATCGTTCTTTGGTTAAAAGAAGAAAGATCTAAATTGGTTTTGTGTAGAAAAAAATCTTTTTAAATTTGGAATTTACGATCGCTTATTGCAACTTTGTAGGAGATAACTTTAAAATTCTGGTAGGATTTTTTTAACCTTTTGGAAGCTTATTGCAACTTTGTAGGGAGAATGACCTTTTGCAAGCTTATTGCATGGTTGATGTCAAAGTTGTAGCTCTGTCTTTTGCATCAACCGATGCGTCTTTCTCACCTTATGTAACTATAAAATTTTGGTAGAAATTTTTTTAACCTTTTGGAAGCTTATTACAACTTTGTAGGGAGAATGGCCTTTTGGAAGCTTACTACACGGTTGATGTCAATTCTACAGTTGACATGCGTGACCTATTCGAAGCTTATTACATGTTTTATTATATTTTTACCTAGGTAAAAAATATAATAAAACATACCGATGCGACCTTTTCACCTCATATAACTTTAAGATTCTGGTCCCTACAATTTGCACACTCACTCGAGAGTGCATTTGGTGGTAATATTATGGGCGCCCAGTACGTCTGTGAAAGCTTAACCGCTAAGCTACTATTATTATATATGGCCCAGGCTCAGTAATCAGTGCCCCTCCCAACGAAAACACACGACCACAGGAATTTGCCATGCCCACAGGCCCTCTTGCGACAAAAGCAAAACACAGAGACTTTTTTAAAATACAACTTTTCGATACGACGACTTCCCATGTCATCGTCCGACCGTGTGTTGGATCGTCTTCGTCACATCCCTGCCCTTGGAGGCAGCCTGTAACCCTGAGAACGCACGCAGTGGCGCTTGGTGGTCTCCTGTCTGCTGTCCCTGAGCACGAAGCAATCGCACGTACATGTACGGACACGCCATGAACCATGTAGCAGGAGCTCAGAAGAAGACGACGGACGCCTTGGTGTCACTGGCCTGTACCTGTGGCGCGTAAACGAGCGGCTTGACATCGCTGTGCTGTTCGTGTTTCGGCCTCATAGGGCAGTATGCGCACGCGTCCATAGCTCTGCAAGAACAGAGATAGCACACCTGCACATGCACAGTTTTTGTATTTGTATGACGCGTCAGAATGACACAAGTTGGCATCGTTTGCTGGCTCGGAGTGAAAACGATTGTGTTGGGAGAGGGTGCACTGTAACCACTGATAACACTGCAGATATGACGCAAAAATGGCGATGCCACAAAAAAAATGTCTTCATTGGAGTAGCGATTGCGACGACACGAAAAATGGCATGGTACAATGTCCCGACACAAATACAAATTAGGTAGGTACTCGGTACTCCTGCTTTCATCCAGGTACGATGCTCTGAACGCCAAACCACGTCTGTTTGGAGCTATATGACGACATGATCAGGCTTCGTCTACTCAAAGAGGCAAAGAAACCTGTTCCATCGCCGTTTATTTTGGTATTGGTAGAGAGAATGCTTAGAACTGGAACTGCATCTCCTTCGTGTAGCCGAGATCGTCCAGGTGCGCAGCCATGGCTTTGTTCATGGGAGGAGGGCCACATCGCAGTACCTGAAAACGGAAACCCCCCTAGTGTCTGACTTCACCGAGCAAAACTGATGGCTTCCGAGTTCCAGCAAGTGCTTTCAGCAACTGGAAAGCTTACCTGAATGTCAGCAGCAGGCGCTGGGCAATGAGTTTGGATCATTTCCTTTGACACGAACCCAACACCACCGTCCCAGACTTCAGGAGGCTGCACAGAAACAATGCCTATTTCGTAAGACGCGGATGTGTGAAATATAGGGTATCAACTAATGACAGGTGACTGGCCAATCTACTAATTCTTAGAATAGAAATAGACCTGATTCAAGACATAGTAGATCTTGAAGCGACGGGGATAGTTTTTGGCCATACTGTCAAGCTCTTCCTGCATCAAGCAAAATGTAAGCACACAAAAACGATACCGTACTGTATGATAATAGCGAGTTGCAATTTCATCACGGATGTAACGTCATAAGCCCAATCAGTGGCACAAATGCATGTCAACAGAAAATTTTCTTCTATTGCGATGGTTCAGTTTAGCATACAAACAAGTGCCTATAAGAGTAACACAGACTACAAGAACTGTAGACAAGAGTTCCTAGTTTTACTGTGGAGGAACAAATCCATAATTATTTCTCGACAAAAGAGTGCTGCTTACATATGGGCATATGTAGAATTAAAGGGCGTACCCAGTGTAAAGAGCTCCCGCTATGCAGGGTCTGGGGTAGGGTGTTAGTGGCTAGCCTTACCCTCGCCTGTGCAATGCGAGGAGACCGCGACTAGAACAATACAGATTGAGTGGTATTCTGTGACATGTTTCTGCTCTTCGTGATATGATACATAATCGCACAAAACAAAGATTATTTCCATATCCCAGAAACCAGGCCTACTAGTTTTCTATTCATAATGTAAGCTGGACAGATAGGGAGTAATGATATCAGTGTCTCACCAAATAGGCATCATCAATTGAACCAGACCCTTTTACATGCAGGTATATAACTGCTATCAGGTTAAGAGTCAATGAAGTTTGTCAGCATAAAAGGCATACCTTCAGAAGAATATCCTCATAAGTGACATTTGCATAGATTAAGTGTACTTTTGTATTGTCTTTTGGGTTCTCAAGAATTGCCCTTGTGACCTATAGTAAGACAGAAAAATGCACTGCTGAGTACTAAAAAAAATCTCAACTATACCATAATAAAGAACTTTGGACGATGTGTTATTACTTGGAACATTGGAGTAATGCCTGATCCTCCAGCTATCATTCCAAATGCTCTCACTTGTCCAGGTAGGTACTTGAAACGGCCCTAGGTTAGAGAAGCATTTATTTAATCTCAATATCGAAAGGCCAAAATGCATACCAGGAGCTACGTATGTTTTCATTAACAAAATACACCTTCCGATTCAACTTCATTCAAAATGCACAACTTCTTTTTATTTTTTTGCTGTTTGTTCATTTGTTGTGCTATAATAAACGCTATCACTCTCACAAAACAAATGAACGCCTCTTTCCAATGTAGCAAAAATGAAGGTAAGAAGGTAACTGGACCATTTTTTTTATTATTGTGTACAACCACAGAATGACAAGTGTGATGCCTAATAATACTCAGTAACTCAAGAAGATTATAGATAAAACAAAAATCAAGGCCAAAATATGCCTCATGAGAAAGGACCAAATTGAGCATGTCTAGTGTGTAAGTTCAGACATGGAACAGGCAAAATCAACATACAAAATATAATGTGATACAGGTATACCTTAGGTCCCTTCACAGACAGATAATCACCAACTTTCATCTCACGGAAATGATGGGACATTCTTCCTTGGGGATACATCTTCAAGAAAGAAAATAAGTGGTGAATCACAACAGTGAACAAATAGTTGCACTGATGACCAAAGATGCATAAAACACAACTGAAGATAAGATGGAATGATTAGGAAATGAAAAAAAAGACCATCTTATTGAAACTTACCTTTATAACAAGCTCAAAGGATCCAAGATCAGAGTCCAGAGTAGTTGGAGTATAAGGCTTGATCACTTCCTCACCAGCAGCATCCTGTCCTCTGGAACAATTGGGGATAAACACAGTAAGATTAAAGGAAATTCAGACTAACGGCTGCACCTTGCAAACCCACTTTCAAAAGTGGTAACAAGGAACCCAAACCTGCAGCTTATATGTTGTCCGATTGGAAGACCCAATGCAGAAGTAGGTGTTGGGAGCGCAAACTTGAACTTGGCAACATTATGACTCAGCTGCCTCTTCTCAACAAGTTTAAACTCCTTGAAATTCTGGGGATCCAGGCAGCCTATAGAACAGATCACAGCACAACCAACACAAATGAGCTACAAGGAGAAAAAATGGGACTAGGCTGTGAGCTCCATGTTCCTAAAAAAGAACGAGATGCTAGCTTCAAAAGTAGTAGGTCACTTAAAATAAGTAGAACGATACATGCATACACAAAGTACCAAGTAGCAATAACATAATCACGGTGGTAGGGCCAGTTCCCAAATGTTTCAGAATCCAAAGAAGCATGTCAACTAGATGGCCTTGGCCCTTGGCCTGGCAAGGAACTTATCTCTGAATGTTCAGCTTTGGCGAATCATGTAATTTTACTGACACTAGTGTTCAGAGGCATCAACACAATTAAATCCAATTATTAGCATTACAGAAAGATGAATCAATGGACCAGCACAATCACAAATTCTTTGAGCTCAGCAGGACACCAGCGCGGAAGGATTCAGAGCCAGAGATACATTCTAGTGACTAGTGATCAAAGGAGAGACGAGTGACAGCCATAACAAGGGTTCCGGACACGCGCGGGTTACTGTTGACGGGAAGGGCATATGGCTCACCCCTGGGCTTCCTACTGCGGATGAAGAGGTAGGCGGCGCCGGCGGCGACGGCGACGACGGCCACCGCGACGGCCACCGCGGTCTCCAGCCTCTGCCCGTGCAGGAACTCCATGCCCCCGCGCCCTTCCCCTCCCGTGGATTCGCGGTTGGTTTGGCTTTAGATTCGCGGGCGGGGTTTGGTCTGGTCCGCTGGTGCCTGAGATTTCAGAGCCGTCGTGACTGACTGGTGACGCCGAGCGGACACGGTGGTAGCTGGTAGGTGCGCAGCGGAGGTGGGTTGGTTGGAACGGGAACGGGCACGGGACAACCGGTTAGCTTACTGTGCTGGGCCGGCAGGATGACTCGTGGGCTGTGACCATTCCCGTCTCGTCAATGGCGATGGCGAGCCGGCCCGCCGCTAACACCGTACCGGCCCGGCTGCAAATGATGCCTGTCCCGCTGGGCTGGCCTTGGACGCGGCCACGGTGGCCTATTTTTTTTCTCTCTCTCTCTGTCCCGAGTCCCGACCGAGCCCACGCCGCCGCTAAAACGTTGACGTCGGCGAGGACGTCGCCGGTCGCCCCATCTGGCCATCTCCATTGAACACGGAGCCCACGCCACGCCATGGCCACCGATCTTGACCGACCCTCTCCGTCCGCAGGCAACTATAACCACGCTAAAACGAGATGGAATGGAATCCCTTTTCGCCGTATTCCAGTTCACACGGGGTTCTTCATCAAAGCGAAGATAAAGGTCGACTAGTGTGACCGGCGGCAGACGCAACCTGGACGCGTCCGTTGGAATTGGACAGCCTCGTGCGCGGTCAATGCCATTCTGTGCCACAGCATACCCGTACAAATCGTGTTGCGCTGTACCGGAATTTTCATCGGACATTGGGCCTGCAATGCAAGAACCAGCTCAATCCGGTATCCTGCTACTTTGGTTTTCCTCCACGATCGTTTCAGTTAAAAAAAAGAGAGACGAGTATGATAAGTTTACTTGATATATAATAATAGAATAATATTGGTATTGGTATGTTACTAGCTTTTCTATATATGCAGAAAAAAAAAACTAACAACAGTTGGGGCAGGAGGATTAGCTGGTAGGCACCTTTGCCTGAAAGGGAGGTTTTATCAGCCAGCCAAACTGCAAATTACAGGCACTGAACAAAAACTCCCCAAGAAAAGCGAAAAAGGAGCAGAGCAATTGTATGCTTCCAAGTCATAACAATCTTTATTGGTTGGAGATTTGCGCCGGGATCAAATAAAATATCTCTCCTCCATTTGGAAACAGGCGACGATGACTGCCAGGGAGTAAAGAAAGCCAGCATAGCATGCCAGCCACCTGCCCCGTAGCTGCTTCTTGTTCCCCTTCGTCGTCCTACTTCCATCGAAGCTACCGAGGACGGACGCAGGCGGAGGACCAGCGCCGTCGCCCAATCCGCTAGTAGGGGGAACAGCCGGCACGAAGGTTAGTCAGCCGGCACAAGCTCTCTCCCCACTACCCCTTTTTTTTCTCCTACTACTAAAAAGGAAGGTGGTTTATGTGGGGGCGATTGGTCCCGGTGCTCGAAATCAAGAACCCGGAGCCGGTTTGCTTTGGCCCCTTTGGATAATATCTTGTGTGGTCTGATAAAAGGGATCGCCTTTGCTGCTTGGTAGATTGGGGATTTCTTGAGGGAATTGTTCGGGGGGGCGGCGGAGATGAGTTTGCGAATAGCGCAATGTGAGTGAATCCTGAGAGGACAGGACAGGGAATTAGTTTGTGCTGTGGTTTGCGCGAATCACACTGACTTCTGATGGGGCTCTCAATACCTTCGTTTGGAATAGAATCTTGTTCTTCAAATAGAAAGTATGGAATTGGGACCCTATTCTTGAACGAAGAATCTCGACTCCTAATATCTGCCTTCCCCGTCTAGAAGATGTGCCAGTGCTGCCTTATTTCCAAGTGGGTCTTCTCTTTACGACAGCTTGCTGCTCCTGTTCCTGTAGAGCTGAAGTGAAGAGAGTTTTAATATCTGTATTAGATGCAAAACTTAGCTTTGTTCTTATTCTTGATACCGATTAATTATAAGATCTTCATGCCTGCCATTACTGAGTGAAGTTCAGTCATAGATGACCACTGTAGTATTCAATTGTTCATCTTGTTTCATCTCTTCTTACTAAAGTTGTTGTAGATGCTGCACTTACTGTCGTCAATGATGAGTTGTATCCTATGGTTATTCACTTGGGAATCAATGCAAATTTCCCTTTTTATTCATATTGCCCTGTTGACACCTTTTGTCTCTGTGCAATACTTGATCAGCGGGAAGGACTTGGAGGATGACAGAAGCTGCAGTTACAAGGTACTGGTGCCATGGATGTGAGAAGGCCATTGAGGAGGCCATGGGGGAGGAGATCAAGTGCCCATTCTGTGGTGGTGGATTCATTGAAGAGATGATCGGGGAGGAATTTGAGGGGTTGGTCAGTCAGCAGTCAGAGCGGGATTTATCACGATTGGGATCGTCGAACCACCCTTTTGAGCAGCCAGGAGCGGTGGCGGACAGTGAGGATGAAGATGATGACGATGATGATATTGGCCGTGAATTTGAGGGTTTCATCAGGAGGCATGGACGGGCATCAGCTCTGCGTCGTGTGCTTGACAGCATCCAGGACGACCTTAGAGCTGACAGGGAAAGGGACAACTCCGTTCTGATCAATGCCTTCAACCAAGCCCTCTCTTTGCAAGGCTCAGTGCTTGATACTGATGAGGCCCGAGATGACCAAGGTGGATCTAGCAATGATGATGGCTTGCTGGAAGAATATGTCCTGGGGGCTGGGCTGAGCCTGCTGCTTCAACATTTGGCTGAGAATGATCCAAACCGGTATGGCACCCCTCCTGCAAAGAAAGATGCAGTTGAAGCTCTGCCCACTGTCCAAATAGCAGAGGTTGTCAGCTGTTCAGTCTGCCTTGATGATCTTGAGCTGGGGTCCCAGGCAAAGCAAATGCCTTGTGAGCATAAGTTCCACTCTCCTTGTATCCTGCCATGGCTTGAACTCCACAGCTCCTGCCCTGTGTGCCGGTTTGAGCTGCCATCTGAAGAGACGAAAGATTTGAATGAGCCTAGCAATGTGGACAGAACAGAGCACCCAAGAGGAAGTCAGGTCCGATGGCCCTGAAAATGACAGTGAGGGCAGTAACAGAGCGTGGCCCCTTGTTCCTTGGTTCAGTGGGCTATTCTCAACACCTGAACCGCAAACTGCCAGAGGCGCTTTCACCGATCAGCAGACTCCCTCCGCTTCTGGAACCAACCCGAATGCTGGGGAAAGTTGATTTCTTCCTCCTTTGTGAATAATGCTCATACATCTGAGAATAGCAATGAACCTTGTCAGTAGATGACTTATTTTTCTGTACTGACAATCCTTCTTGATGAATCGCAAGGTACAAAGTTTGTGGCTGCTCTGTTTTGCCAGGATTTTAGCGATCATTTCACCTTTAATTAATCACGTAGCTACTGAGCCTGTCTGCATCCTATGCATGTGATCATTTGCTTTCTTTGTTCTTGGCTCTGAGAATCCATTCATGTTTATTGTCCTGAACTAGTGCTAGTTGTAAAACGTTTGTGAGTCGTGAACACCAGTAGAGGTAAACCTCGTCATGTTCAGAGATGACACTAAACATTCTCGGGGATAATATGTCGGCCAGGACGTACAGATATCAATATCACGCAAGGCAGCCTGTTGAAATATTGTGGCCAAATTTACACATCTGGTTAAAAGTATTAAGATTTTCTGGCTGTGTTTGTTGCTCTGACGGGATGTCTTTGAGCTATTTCTGGAATATGTTGGTCTTATAAACTATCATGCGTGGGATTTTTGTTGACCCGTGCTTGCTTACAAGTTAACCCAAAATATATCGTCATATCAAGTATCTGCTGGCTGAACATGAAGAGAATTACCCCTATTGAAATCCGTTCTATTGATGCTGCACGTGTTATACAACAAGCTTTAGGGCTTTTTTGGCTGCACTGCTGCAATCCACCTCAATCCACAACTATTTTTCAACCGCAATACACCTCAATATATATGAATTAGGGTAAACAGAGTGTAGCCAAACAAGGCCTTAGCCCTTAGGTGGACAAACGGTACTTTGGGCTTGCAAAGGAACTTCCTGCTCATATGAATTAGGGTAGAGAGAGTGTAGCCAAACAAAGCCTTCGGTGGACAAACAGAACTTCGGGCTTGCAAAGGAACTTCCTGCTTTGGTTCTTCGGGGGAAAACAATGACCTTCCTGCTCTGTATGTTTCTGAAGATGTTTCCTTGTGTGTAATATCACATGCCCTTCTCTTGGTGCAGGTTTGAGTATCCTTGAGTGGCCATGAGTACTTCTTCCATCTGTGTCCTCGCTTGTAGCCATGGCTAGCCTCTCCTTTTTCCAGAAAGGAAATGGTTCAGTGTCCAGACTCTAGGCATCAATCTTTGCGTTGATTAAAGGGCCTTGGACAGTCCGTGGATGTGATTAAAAGCATGTTTAGTGGCTGTAGGATAGGATCTATGCTTCAACCTTTGCATCAATGATCTTGTTATTATTCGTCAGGAATGTACGAAGTGCCCGTGCATAGACGCAATATCTGAAATCAGTGAACTGATCTCAGATTCTCAACTGTATCAAGGTCTGAAGAGCTGTTGCCGAATCCAAGGGGGGGAAAAAGAATTTTCTTGGTAAGACGATTTAACATACAAGCTCTCTTAATTTATTCATTCATAGAAAAGGAATTATGTAATTGGTAATATGGTATAGCAAAAATGGGTACAATAGTATTAAGGGTCTGTTTAGTAGGGTTTTTTTTTGTGATTGTAAGTTGTAGCTCCCTGATTCTATGACTGATTCCCTCAGCAGGTGGGAAATATTCTAAAGTGATTCTGGTGAGGATTGATTAGGAAGCAGTGGGGAGCGTGGTTTTTAGGTCCCAAATGGTAGTGTAAACAGATAAACGGTTCTCGTTAGATCCTACCAAAATCTAGTCGTGTTTTACACGTTTGCTGTTTATGGGCGGTTCTCGCATAGAATCTAGAGCTGGGAGTGCTCCCATATAGCCCTCAAAGTTATCCCATAATTCTAAACTTTATCTTACATTTTTTTTATTTAGTTGACGCTAGCATACACGTATGCACATCCATCAGTCCTTTCGAAGGCTCGGACCGGGCCGATTGATCTCGAGATTGACGAGTTATCACAGATCGTCTATCACCGAAAGAATAGAATAATATTGTCCAATCATGAAATCAACCAGTTAAACTATGTTCAATTTATGAGATAGATGTTTTGTGAAACAATGATCCATATTTGCAGCTCCAAATTCAAGGCAAACTGTAAAATCGTGATGCTATTTTGCCCAGCTTTCGGCAACTCCGCTTTGAACGTGAGCTGCGGCGCAGATCGCGCCTCGCCGCCGCGGCACCACCGTCCCAGAAACCGCGCCGAGATCCCTATCGGCACGGGAGATTCGGCGGCCGCGGACGGGCCGGAAGCAGCTGACTTCCGCCGGGCGCTTTGCCCAATCAACGGAGCGCGACATGCCAGTACAGACCCCCGTGCTGCGCGAGCTTTGCACTTTTCATCTTCTGCTTGTCAAAGCGAGAAATATCAAAGATGCGCCCGCCGCCGCCGACCGTGCGCTCACACGGGCACTCTCGACACCGTGCGCTCTGGATAATCGGTTCTGGAGGCGTTGGGTTTCTCTTGCTTTTTTCGCTGCAAAAGCGCAGCATTTTTTTTCTCTCCACGAGTTCGGTTCAGTTAACCAAGTCGGTTGGCATCGGGAACAGATCTCGTGATGTTTCCAGCGTTGGCATACAAGCGTAAACCACGCAGGCCTACAGCTCGCGCCCACACGTACGAGAACCTGTTCCACGCACAAAGCGTCAAAGCTACCATAGATGAGATGCATGCTCATCGCCCCCGTCTACAGATTCATTCATCCTGGAAATTAAGCTTTGCAAACTTCGAAGGCGAACATAAAAACTCTACAGATTTGTCATAAAAGGCTGGTATTATTATTATACATGTATACTGCTTCCAAGAGAGAATAAAGTATATGTGTGCACTGCTAATACGCACATCAAACTGGATATGTGTAGATTCTGAACATATTAGCTTATTTTCTACTCCCAGGTGTTTACATGACAGAACTTGTCATCGAAATGGGGTTCTTCATCCCAAAGTACGAGCATTTCTCGTCATCCCAAGTCAAACTATTATTAGTTTGATCATGTATATAGAAAAGAACGACAACATTTATAATATCAAATAAGCATCAATAGATCCATCATAAAAAAAATATTTGCATAGTTCATTGGTGTGATTTTTTGAACGCAATGGCAGGAGCTCTGCCTTTCAATTAAGTAAGTTCCTTGATGTGATAAATATTAAGATATTCTGACTTAGAATGAAACCAGAAATGCTTTTATTTTAGAACGGATGGAGTATAACACAACTAATAGCAAGGTGGAACAGAAATAGCACCTCTAGTATAGCTATATTGGCAGTGCTAGATGGCCACCCCTCTCACCTGACCCGGGCTCTCTTTTCCCAAGCAGAAACAAAAGCCTTCCAAACAAAGAACCTGTGGAACCAAATAGAGGAACATGGTCCAAAAATTTTCTAGCCAAGCTCAGTGTTAAAAAGATACTGTTATGTGACGGATAATATAAATACAGAAACAATAGGAAGTATGATTTCAATCGGCATATTAATTAGTAACGAACTGAAAGAAAATAGAGCAAAAGGATAATTGTACATTTACAGCGCAGCATGTGTTCAGCAGGCAAACAACGAGAAATTGTCATCTGGGCCCCACATGACAGGGCCAGGGATGCGCAGCCCCACATGACAGAAAGCACCTGCAATAAACCAGGAAGCGAAATGTGGCAGAACTACCCACATTCTTAGAGGAATATTGCTCGTGACATCGACTGATGTCAATGTGATCATTGGAATATCGAAAAGAGGGGCAAACCAAAAGCACTGACCAGGACTAGAAATGCCATATGCTCCAGCGATGCCCCCAAGGAAAGAATATCAAAGATGTTCGCCTCATCGCCTCAATTTGATTTACTTTAACCACAGATTTCCTTCAAACAAATCCAACCATTAGCACAAAGCATCAGCGCACATAATACATGTACAGCTATAAACATAGTGCAAATTTACACTAGATACCATATCAAGAATGAATCTTTCAGGTGCCTCCTCGCTGCCTGTGAACTGCAAGAGCATCACATAACCACTAGAGTAGACTAGTTGCTCAAAGAGCATCCCTGAACAGTAACCATCACTAAGCGTAAGATAGTCGCCGCCGCGATAGTTTATTTTCATACTCAGGCAGCATATGTTCTGTGAAAGCCACAGAAAGCTTCTTTGCTGCACACGGAATATCGAGATTCGGATGCCACCAATGCGAATAAGAAAAAAAAAGATTTAGGTGGATTGATGAGAAATGCATATTGACGAAAAGCATAGCTCACCGGAAATATGCAGGCAACTTGAGGATGAATACATGCCAAGGACACCGAGAAAAGAATCAATGCCGAGGAGATAGTTTGAGATCGAGAATCTATGTGTTCATGGAGCTCACGGTGTCTGGACAAAGACTCCATTCAATAAATGAGTAGCTTGTGCAATTGGGTTGCCCTATTCATGACTGATTTTAATTGCTTGCTACTCTGCTTTTTATCGCTCCAATGACCAAGATTGGACAAGAAACTAGTTGAGTACTGGTGTACCCATGACAATAGACAAGGTTTCTAGACCCAAACTGTATGATCCTGTTACGCTTGTGTCGGACCATTTTGAGCAGCCAATGTCATACTAACTCCTAGTAAACACTGTTCAAAATTGTGCAGTCATATGACAAAGCTACTAAACTACAGAAGGCCAAACTTAGGTCATCAGAAATCAAGCAGTCTGGGTTTGGCCCCCTAAACGCTGCTTGGCAGGTCAATATAAGGAGCAACTTAGCCACACATGCAGATGCACACTCCACCAGTCCACCAGAACTCGTATGATATCAATTATTCAAACTAGTTTTGTTCTGAAAAGTGGTGGGTGCTAGTTTGACGGCGCGGCGGTTCCTAACACATATAATAGCCATGATAAGTTGGCACACAGGCAGGGTAT